TTACATTGTGTCTCGGATCGCTCTCTGGTGATTGTTATTAATGATGGACATAAATCAATTGCCCGTGGAGTGGCTCAATATGTTGGCCGAAAGGTTCTCCCACCTCACGTATCTGACCAGACGGACCCAGGCCAGTCAATTATGCCAATTGCTGGCCCCAAAAAATCTATCTACGCGCACATGTGCGCCGAGATACAGATGCATTTTGTATCCGTATGCCCATGTCCGTGTGCAACGGTTATTCGGTGCTGCGCATGCGCACCACATGAGGTCTAATAAAAATTAAGCGCGTGTTGCATTTGTTATTGTCAATGTTGTTCATGGTTCGTTGTTGTTGTGTGTTGTTGCAGTTGTTGTTCACTGGCCACTTGACCAACAAACGAAACAACACGTACAAAGTTTGACGCGTGACGTGGTTGGCAAACAACACTGCACAACAAGGAAATTAATATCTTAGAGATTTTAAGTTAATGTTATGTGTAAGAATATTAAAATAAATATAATTTGTATATTCGATATAATTTAAGAAGCTTATTATTTCAGGAAAAAGTTAATTTTATCTAAGTGTCATTTTATGAATATATCGAAGGGATAAGACGCTAGTTAAGTAAAATAGTTCTTTTTTGCAGAATTATTGGTTCATAAAATATAGATATACTTTAATTAGATAATATATCTAATGATCAGAATTTTATCCTAGAAAGAAGTATACTAGATTTTGAAGGATTAACTTTGACTGAAAGTAACATGGACTGGACATTGAGAAACTTCCTTTGCATCTCCCTTTGTACGATTTCTATACCTTAAAAACTATAATTTCTATATAATAATATATTATATAATATTTTAATATATATTTTTAAAAGGCTGATCTTAGGAGAAGAACTTTAAAAAATTGTCCCATAATAACTACATTTCGTAACTTTAATCTTAATTATTTTATTCCTTCGATAACAATTTATGTATTTATTTTGTAACTTTACTTTTGTATAACATGTTTTTTCACACTTTTTGTTATGCATTAAACTGAAAATAATTTATGTAGGCCAATGCTGGTTGGCAGTGCCACTTGTGGCACGAATACACAACGACTGCACACTAACACAAGGGCAACAACTTTCGCATTAGGCCAAGTCAACAGCAACAACAGGCCACAAAAATTTGTTGTAACCTGCCACGGAAGCCGCGACGCGACGCCTTCTTGAATTGGCCAGCAAACGTAGGAAGCCAAAGTTGCCATTTACACAGAGAGAAATAAAATTATCTAACAAATTTTAAATTAATTTTAAGTACTTGTAAAATTTTGTATACTTTACGGAAATAACTTTGAAAATTCATAAATTCCTAACTTATTTATGAATTTTAAAAGTTCTATCTTTCTTTCATAAACTCCTAACTAATTTATGAATTTTCCAAGTTCTTTCTGGAAAATATTTGAAGTAAAATATAATACAAATTAACTCAATTTTTAGGTGCACATTTTACATAATTTCATTATATGATTAATGTATTATTTTTAAGGCAAGCCTAAAGTATTTAATACCTAAAAATAATAATTTCTTCCTGTGTATGCAAAGAGGAAAAAAAAGATAAGTTGAATCAGGCCTTGTGGCGAGCCTTTAACATTTGTGCCACAAGTGTCTTACGGCCTCTTTGGGGCCCCATGGATATTGCAGTTAATTTTCGCAACGACGCAATTGAGTTTTCCATCGCCCACGCCACGCCCCCCCACTCCCCTCACTACCAGCCTCCTTCGGTCCTCCAGCAATTGCAGCTGGTTTATGACGACGTTTGATGCGGATCGAGTTGCAGGTTTAGTGCAAGTCTCAACCAGTGCCGCCTTATCACCTGCTTTGGAAAACTTGGACAGCTGTTTGGGATACTCTATCAATTGGGGGAATTACCAAAAGATCAAAATTTACTTTAATCTTTAAGGGATTTTATAAAATTAAGCCAAGAAATAAGCTGAATTTATCTCTTAAGCTAGTTTTTGCAAGCTCAATAATATTATATTTATATGTTTAAAAGCATATTGTTGTTTAATGAATATTAAATATTAAAATATTTACTGATATAATAGTTAATTTAGTTATATATAATATAATCCTAAAACTACGCATTTATTTTATCTAGAAATTTATTTTACATACATTTTCCCAGATCCTTTCATTAATATCCTTTCAAAAAAAGAGCATTATAAGTACCAATCACTACAAAAATAAAAAAACATACTTCTTGTTTTTTTCGCTGGCTTGTTTTGATATTGCATTTTCCTTTGCCAATTTTTTTGGCGCGCAAATTTTCAGGTTTCGTAATGTTTTTGTTTTTCTCTCTCTCGAATTTTTTATTTTTTTTGGGATTTGCTTAACTTAAAGATACGTCTTGGTCTGTGTCTGGGCGTTGTTGGATTTCTTGGACACTGAACTGCCTCTGGGTTACCGCTATGCCAATCAAAGTGCATTTAATTAATTGAAATACGTTACATTAATTACACTATAATTAAAAGTTTGATTTATATTGCTGAGGACTGAGACCCCATCGTGGTCGTGTAGGTGTCCATTAATTGTTGACTGACCTGTCCGCTCTGTTCGCTTCGATTTCAGCGATTTCTGCGATTTATGCTAATGCCTGTCACCTGTTCGACCACTTGGTTAAACTCCAAAGCCCGCGGAGTGATCATTAATCTGGGATAGAAAAGCCTCGCAAATATGCTAAATTTTGTGGTTTTGCTTAATGGTTTCTTAAGGTGGTATATTTGCTATTTCGTCAGATTTTTGGTTTAATGTTTATAGGCTTCGAATACTATTATTTAAGCTTTGTTTTATAGTATTTTAAAGTAATTTTATAAAGTGTCAGGGTTCGTAGAATATCGCTAAAGAACAAGATAATTTGCTTTTTAATGGGGGTTTTAATTACTTATAGGTTTTATGGATTTTAAATAAAAAATTTAAATAAAAAATCCAATGAATGAAATAAGGAATTGAAGAATATTTCTCTAAACTATAATAATTTCACTTAAGACTGTACTATAAATCAGGATTTTCCTTTCTCCCCTCATAAATCCTACTCAAAACTTTTGTTTGATTGACAATGCTGCCAGAGTTGGTAGAAAGATGGAATCTTTTCGGCCCCTCCGTCTTATTCCTTTTGGGGTTTTTGGGGTGCTGATCCGAGTCAAAGCATCATCTAATGTCATGCCTGGCTGAGGACAGCGAACTGTCACTTGACGTTACGTTACGTTCGTGTGCTGCTCCATTTGACAAAAAGGGAAAACTCCCTGGCACTTTTCCGTTTTCACACAAGACACGAGGCACGGGGCGCAGGCGCAGGAGCGCACACTTTCCCCACAGGCCATAGAACATGTGTTGCATATTACTTGGAAAATGCCCTGAATAGTTTTGCGGCTTGCAGATGGGTGTCTTTTCGGATACTCATTCATTTTTAGGGTATAATGGCACTATGTTATACTGTGTAGCTAAAACCTAATAAGGTTTTATATTGAAAAAATTAATACGACAAGATTTGAAGGAATAAAATAATATCTTCTTGTTAGTCTAAATCAAAATTAATCATAAGAAATTCAAGTTATATAAATAAATATAATTTAAAGACAATAAAGGATAAATATTGAACAAACTTATGGCCATAAAATACCCCTAAATAAAATGTTTTGTTAACTTAATTTAATATTTAATCAACTATTAATGAATAATCCTTTTGTGAAAGAGATTTTAATGATAATGTTTCAATAAAATATACCCTAAATAATAACTAAGTTATTACTCTGTAATGTATATTTTCCAAGCTGATTTCAAAATTATAAATACAGGGTATCTTAAGTTCAGCATATGAATTTCCATACATTTTTTCCAGGAGGAATGGGCGGCATGCGCGCCTCCCCCTTGAAAAGCGGGCAATGCCAAGTTGAAGTGACGTTTTCATTTTTCGGAAAATCCCCTCTCATTTGACTTTTCCTATTTATAGGTTGTGGCAGGCGCGGGCGCGTGTGTGTCCCCTATTTAATTTTTTTTTCGTATTTGTTCAGTGGCTCCCCACCGTCCCCCGAAATGTGTCCGCTTTTCCCCGTTTTGGATCTTGAATGAATTTGTTATAAATATAAACTAAACGCGCCCTCTGCTCTGGCACACACACTTTCTGGGGAAATCCATCCGTGAAAATGTAAAATATCTCCTGCTGAGTTTAGTTTTTCTGGCACTGCGCACTTTTTTTTTGTATTTCATGTCTTTTGTCTTCAAGTTCCCCAGAGTTTTTTTTCGTTAGCTGCCTTGTCTTTTGTTTATAACTTTTCAATTAATGCTTTATTATCGCTCTTTTTAGGGGGAATTTCCGCCACCCTCCCAAAATACAAAAACACTGATGATCTGTTGATGGGACTTTGGATGAATTTTCTTTTTTGGGGGCCAACATCTGGCTGGGGGTAGGTGAACTATCGGTGATTCCAACAAATTGAATTATTATTGTATGATTTTCAACACCCTAAAGAAATAGAACTGATAGGGGATTGGAAATTAGAAGGTGTTTCATGGGACAGGAATGTGATTGATTTTGTTGTTTTGTGTTTTAACAAAACAAGAATTGTTTCAATACCATTTACATTTATTTAGGAAACTATTTTAACGGACTATAAAGCCTTTTATAAGCTTTATAGATTATAGATTAAAACATGAGGCTGATAATGTCTTACTTATTAAATTTTTCATGACTCACTTAATATTTTTAGTACTAATTAATATTCCCTGACCTTACTTATTTAACCAATAAACAATCTCTCACAGCATCAAATCAATTACATTTTAACAAGCTTTCCAGCTTCCAAGATCACAATATATAAAACATTGTTGCCATTGAACAATCAGCAAAACAAGATCGTTAATCGCTATAACTATATTTTATAGAAACATGAATATAGCGTGCTGAAATTTAACCATATTCATATCTATAAATAGGACGGATTCAGTAAGAGCCATTAACAGTTCAAAATGAAGTGGACTTTGGCTATTTTACTACTCTACTTGATCCACAATATTAAGGTGAATATGGTTTATTTATTATGAATATGATTATTATATATTTCATTATTCATTCACCAGTGCGAGCAATCCTATGTGGTTAGCAATGAAAAACTGGAACCCTTTGAGGGCGATTCCGAAACCTTGGTGATCTTCAGTGGCCTGAAAACTGTCGGTCGGGAGAGGGCCCTTAATGGATCCTTTAAGTTCCTGGGTGAAATGAACAATGATGACTTTAAGGTTTCGGTGGAACTCTATTCCAGTCCCAATGGCGATGGTGACTTTAAACGAATGGTCATGGATGTTCCTCCTACGAGCATTTGCGAATGTTTCAAAAAGTTCTATGTCCAATTCGTTCAACCTTCGTTGAAAAGTGGAGAGACTACTAATTTCCCAATGGTCGATGAGGATACCTGCCCCATTCCCGAAGGTGATTTCTATATTAAAAATATTCTCTTCAATACCGAAGATTGGCCGCAGCAGGTGCCACGGGGTATTGTCAAGGCAATCATTACGTTTTTTAACGCTGGCAAAAATGTTGGAGGCTTGATAGTGGTTGTCAAAATTGACGATCGACAAAGTTAAAAAGTACTTAAAAGTTGGATTTTGATCTTCTGATTGTAGAAGAAAAAAAAATGTGAAGATGAGTACAAACATTGAAGAGATCTAGAGAGAGAGTAGATGAGTTTACCTTATATATAACCCCTTTATATAAACATATATCATATTAAAACCAAAAAAATATATATAAATGTCTTTGAAAGCGAAAAAATGAGTACTTTTTTCTAAAGTAAGTATAAAATGAAAGTAATGTTAATGGTGCTCATATGGTATTCATAAGGATTGCATTGACATTACAAAAAGACAAAAAACTCTTATAAGAATAAGTAAATATTTATATTTATATTATTTTTCCTAATCAATGTAAGAACTATATTTATTAGTTATAATTTATTGGCATGTGATAGTTGGAACTATGTTTAAATGGTTCCCGTAAGAAACCTTTATTAATAGTTTAAATTACTTAAAATTTAAAAAAAATAAGCCATAATATCTAAGAAAACTTCAAGACCTAAAAACCTCATATATTTTCTTAACACATAATTCAATTGTCCAATAGTTCACCTCCCGCACCTGCATGACCTTAAGAACTACGACCCAATTGTGTCAGAAAATCAACCACAAAAGATCAACGAAAATTTTTCAATTGTTGCAACGAATCAATAAAGTTGCAATCCAACTGTGGTCACCTGGGTTTGAAGTTGCGGTAAGTGTCCCGGACCCCTTGTGGATCGAAGACAATAAGAAAACTGATCAGACAGTAAGAAAACTGATCAGACAATCGACTTTATATGCGAACACCTATGTCACGCACCCACACCCATAATGTCTGAGGAGGCCTTTCAATTTATGCAAAGCACAATCGAGATCGATCGAAGTTACTCAATTAAGTGCCAACAATTTGCAGTAAAGTTCTCAATTTCAATCGCTTGCCCCAAAGAAACGTGCCACATGTTGCGAGTGATTTTGATTCTTTTTTTATATGTTTATTTTCAGCAGGTTTGCTTTTTTTGTATTTGGCTCTGCATGCGCTAATTTGAGCAAATCAAACAAGACCTCGGCAAGAAATAAAAAAGATTTTCAAAGTTGTTTTCGGTGTCGAATCCAACCAGTTTCGATTGCTGCCTGCGTGCAGTCTTTTTTATGAGAAAATACAAAAATAACAAAAAATAGAAACACCTGCCACAATTGATTAAATCACGGCAATTCATTACTGCGAACGATGAACTACAAACAGATACAAGTAAATATGGCTTAATACAGTGCGGTTTATGGCCGTAAATTTAACATTACTTGAAGGTTTTCTTAAAGAAAAATTAGTTAAATTATTTAGAAAATAAAGTTATAAAGTAATGTAACAACTTAAAAGGAAATTAAAACAACAATTTAATGTTTTCAATTAAAAAATCAGATGCTACAATGTAATATCTGCAACATATATTTCCTTTTAATATTATTTTCTGCACTTGATTGTATTTTAGTTAAATTAAAAATCGAGGTTGATTGATTTTGTGAGTTCTTGTGATTCGTGGGTGTTCATTCGTTTTGCTTTGGCAAAACGTGAGGGTTTCCATTTGATCAACAAAAACCTGGGCTCAGACAGAGTGGCTACCAATCGATTTCCCTATCTACTCTCCGCTGATTTTTTGGCCGCATAAATCAACGGTTTTTGCGCAATAACGCTTTTTGGCACGTTCTAAAAGTGTTAATTGGATACTTTTTTTGTTGGTTGGTCTTAACCCACACACAGCGATTTGCATGAACTAAAACCTGCAATTTGTGTGTGGGTTCATGTCGATCAATGATTTGATCAATGCTGAAAGTGCTTCCATTCAGTTATTCTCACAAAAAAAAGGGGCGTGAATTTTGTTAAATGCAAATGAACCTTATTATCTAATGGCTACCGATTGAGCAATAGTTTAACTTGAATTTAATTAAGTTTAAGGGGTTTCATTAAGGGGTACTATTTTTAAAGAATTTGCTGAATTTTTAACCGAGAATTTGTAGGTGAAAAGTAAAAATTTGTAAATATATCAATAAAACACTATTAAATATGATTAAACAAATCAATTAGTCACTGGGTTTATTCCTTCTTCAACTTAGAATCATTAATAATGTTAGCACTTTGTTTCAGGTCAATGATCATTCACTTAACCAGAAGTGATAAATAAAAACAAATTTATATCCGAGAGACATTTCAACATTTGACCAACTGAGCTTTGCTTCGAGTAATCTATTATTTTTACGACTTCTTTGGGGTAATTTCCAAGTGTGATCTCTATGTCGTGCTTTTTTTATATCAGTTTTTGATTATTTCCAGAATTTACACAATCATTTTAATGTGAAGCTATAAAACTGTTCGAAGCCCGCAGCAGCTGCCTTTTCGAGAATGAAATTAACTTGTACAAATTGTTTTCAACAGAATTATTATGGCATCTATCCCAAGGCCCCAACGACAATGATTAAATATTTGGAACTTCTGTGTGTGTTTGTGTCGGTATCCACAAAAACAACAAAAGAATATAGAATATAGTAATATAATGGAGCGATGCGACTGAAAACAATTTTATTAATGGGTCGCGTGATTTAATGTGCCCTCCGTTCGATATGGATATAGCCATAAATCTGAGGGGAAAAAATGTGTGCCGCTTAATTGCGTAATGATTGAGTTAGTTGTTGGTTCGTTTTGGGTTTTTTATGATCCTAACCGCTAATTGGAGGATCAAAAAGCGTCTCCCCATGGTGGAAAATGATCACAGAAATGGAGCCAAAGAAATGAACTTTTGAACTTTAATGAGGAATCATCCAATTGGTTTAATTTGGGTTTCTAGTAAAGAAAGAGTTTCTCACGTTTTGGATTAATTAGTTTGGGGTTTGTAAAGGTTTCTGAATTTAGTTTTTTCTCAAGACCCCGTACATTTTCCATTAATTTCTGATTCTGCCTTTAAAGCTGTCATCGCCATATCTCAAATAAATTTGCTTCCCCAAACAGTGTCATAAAATTCTGCTAATTAAACAAAGAGCTGTGGCTGACCCAAATCTGTTCCGAGAGTTTCGCCATAAAAGCTGAAACATTTTTAATGGGCAATTCAAAAAAGAATATCCACAGATTTTCCACTTGAAAGTTTTTGCAAACCAAAAAAAAAACAGGACAACAAAGAATATTGATCCCAAAATCCGCTACAAATGGCTCTGTACTTCAGCGAAAAGTCTTCCAAAAAAAGGAGATATCATTTTCAAGGACCTAGAGCTTTTCCTGGACTTTAAAAAGTTGACATGTGATATGAGGAAAACCTTTTAAATCCGCAAAGAAAAGCGAGCAAGCCCCAAAGTATGCAAAGGTAACTTTGGGAGGGAAAAAGGTCCACCATCATCACTGCTTTGTGAGGGGACAAAACCAATTTATAGATAATAAAATAATTAATCATGCACTTGTCCAACTGAAAGTCCGAGGACACGCAAACACCCAGCCCATTATGGCCAGGATCCCTTGGCCATTAACTCGGCTGTCTAAAAAGGGACTTGGACTATGATTGATGTCTGCAAAGAGTGACTAGACACAATTTTCCAGTCCAGTCTCTCTCTGTGTGTGTTTGTGTGTGCGAAAATCACGAATTTTCCTTTTGGCCAGAATGATTATGATAAGACAATTTCACATGGCTTCTCCCTCTAATTAAAGTTGTCTCGCTGAATATTTCTCTATTTCATTCCTTTTTTTTTTTTTTGCGGCATCATGGTAAATAAGAAGCGTTACTCATTAATGCAGGCACAGCCACTCAGTTGACTGAATGAATTATTCATATGGGGTTTTCTCCCTAGATTTCTGACTGACCTTATAATTTACTCGGCACAAGTGGCACACTTACTTCTAGGCTTGGTCCTTTTCGGACTCATAATTGAACTGAAGGACCTGGAAAATGAGGGTTTTCCCTGGCACATTAAGTGATTCCAAATGGTGAAATGACTTGGCAAAGGATGAAGGGTGTAGTAGAAATATAACAGGTGTCGGGGACATAGTCAATGACAGCAGAGTTTCCACAGATTAGGAAAGGAAATTGGTACTTTTGTAACTAATTAAACATAAATTATTATATTTACATTTCAAATTTACTAAGAAGCACTTATTTTAGCGAATTTAAATCATATTTTAGCTTCCAACTTTAAGTTCCTATTCCAGCAATTACCAAAAATTATCCCTGCTTAGTGCGAACCCTCAAATCTCCTTTAGCAAAGTGAACATTTTGCACAAAATTGCATTACCGAGTTGAACAATGATTTATGTGGCAGGGAGCCGCACCTACATTTATGCCACCGCGTGGCCATAAATCACACCAAAAACGCAAAGCTGCGATTCTACTTGCAGACCTGGCTAAAAAGCAAGCAAAAGCCAACCAGTCCCGTCTAGAGAGACCGGGCCAAAAGTGTCTGTCAGAAAGTCAGAAACGGGGTAAAGTCACAGAAGTCTTTGGCAGACAACAAATTGATATTTTTAACATGCGAGTTCAAATAGATAAAGTCAATTGATGGACGGACCGAGTGCAGAGCCGCAAATAAGAAGAAAAATCAGTAGCGGTTCCCCGCAAGACCCCAACCCGCCTCAGAGAAGTCTCGCATGGCATGACAATTAGCCGACCCACAGGGGCCACCGTTTGCCCACTGTGACGCCTCCTTGGGACAAAGAGACCAACACCAGAGACTCGGCACAGTGGGGATAAGAGCAAGGGACTCGTGACAAAAAAATTAAAATTATTGAGAAGTTATCATTAAGAAATATATTGTAATTTTAATGAGGTTTCAAAAGGGTTTTTGATATATTATATTTGGAAATAAATCAAATCATTATAATAGTAAGAAATTTTATTAAGTTACAGAGGATTACAGAAATCGTTCTTCTAGAGCCATACAAATATATAAGAAAAATTGAATTTATTGAAAAAGTATTATCAAAAAATATAAAGCACTTTGGATGAGGTTTTAAAAGCGGTTTTAATATATTTTACTTGCAAATAAATGAGATCCTTGTAATAGTAAAAACTTTCATTGGCTTAACGTAGAGAAAATAAATTGTTCTTCTGGAGTCGAAAAAAAATATAAGGAAAATTATAATAATTATGAAATTATATATATTATTATATATATTATTATATATATATT